GGTTGGACTAGATGACCCACAGAGGTCCCTTCCAACCCCGACCATTCTGTGATTCTGTGGGGTCTGTTTACTCAGACTGGGAGCCCACCAGCTCACCAGTCCGAATGAGGTTTTTCTTTTGTAGACCCCAAGATCGGTAGGATAAAGGGAATATATCAAAACTATCGACCTGTTCCCGTGGCACAGCATGTCGTGTGTCCCAGGTTGTGTTCTGTGGGACTCTTCATACCATTTTTTCTTTGGTGAATTGTCACATCTTTTGAACAGGCTGTTTCTTTGAAATTCAGCAGTAAAGATCGACTGGGGCACGTCCAGGCTTATGCAGGTGATTTGTCCTCCCACAAAGGAGACGGGTTCTGTTTTATCTGCATACGCTCTACTCTTCTAAAATTTGGCATCCGTAGGATTATTTCTTTATTATTTTGATGGACTATTAAAAGGTTTTTTTAAAATTATACTTCCTCTTTGTGAGTATAACCCACATACTGAAGCATTGTACTAATACGTGAGGAACAGAAAAGGAAATTTGATCTTAACAAAGCGTCTGGTCTCTCCACCTGGTTAACGGGAAGTGTAAATGACTAATGGAATAGCTAAAACAGCATTTTAGTAATCCAACTCACCAGTCACGTAAGACAAAATCTATGGCTTTAGATTAATTTAATGTAATTCCATCTCTTTGAAACTTTTGGCTCTTCCTTTCTTCCTTTCCCAGGTCTTTTTGAAAATCATTCTTTTGGGACTACTTTGTCCTTGTGTCCCCAGTAATTCTGCCACAGCCTACGTTGTAATTGCATGTCAAGTATTGGTTAAACCGTAAACTTTGAAGATGGGGAACACTTTTTACAGGAAAACTGGCAGAATGTTACACAGTCATGATTCTTTCCTAATATTTTCAGTAAAGGGTACGTGACCAACTGGAACAAAATACAGTGTGGCACGAAAGAATCCAATGTCTAATAATCAAGGCAAATAAAATTAGCTTGGTGACACAAAGAGAGGCTGGTAAAAGGATCGAGTTTATGTACTTGGACACCCTGACAGAGATCTGAACTCAGGCGATAAATTCATTGACTTATCCGTTGAGATGAACTAAACTGGGGGAAAAAAAAAAAATGGTGGAGATTTATAAAGGCAGATCACAGAGTCACAGAATGTTCAGGGTTGGAAGGGACCTCTGTGGGTCACCCAGTCCAACCCCCTGCCGAAGCAGGGTCACCCAGCGCAGGCTGCAA